GGGGGAGGGGCAGCGAGCAGAGAGGAGGGGAGGGCCGAGTAGAGGGAGGCGAACGGGCGGGAGGGACGCTCAGGCTTTTGTGGCGCAGCCGCTTCTCGCATCTCCGGCCCCAGCCGGCCGCCCGCGGCCCTGCAGCGTCTCCAGGCCGGGCTGCGCGCCTCGGCGCACGCCCCCTCCCACTCGCACATATTCTCGGCCACCTCCAGGCACCCTGATCCAGCTGCCTCCCCCACTTCGGCCAAGATACCTTCTACACCCCCCTCGGGCCCGTCCAGCCGCTGCCCCGCCCCGATCGGCCCTCACCGTTTAGGCAAGAGACCGCTCGCAGTCGGGCCGGGCCGATTCTACTTGGGGAACTCACGGCGCGTGCACCTCTGGCCACCTCTGAAGAGGCGCCCCAGGTGACTGCACACCGGACTGCAGTGTCCAGCCCAGAGCCGCTGGGAGCTGGAGGGGAGGATGTGGGAACCTGCAGTCCCAGTCCTCCCTGGGGTGGCGTGTGCGGCTCTCACTCCCACCTCCGCGGTCGGCACTGCCTCAAGGCCGAGGCGTCTGTATGGCTTCGCTGCTGGCCGTCTGCCCTGCGCTCCTGCGCCACCACCACCGCCTGGGTTTGGAAATGCCCGGAGGGCACAGAGGTGAGCCTTCTGTCCTAAGTCCGCGGAGACGCTGGGCCCGGCGTGTTGAGACCTCCACGCTGGGAATTCGCGGGGCACGCGCCGCCAATACTTCGCCCTGAAAACGCCGCACCCCAAAAGAGTTTTGTTTTGTTTTGTTTTAAAAGTTGATGCCTTCTTCGGAATTTGGGGGAGTCGATACTGGATGAACCGCCTCTGGCATAAGCGGAACCTCACTGCCATCTTAGGAAGGGACACATGGGAGCCAGCTGGTGGCACAGCGCAGTTGGCGACAAGGTAGCCCTGGTGGCCTGCGGCTTTACTCGGGAGGTGCCTGGAGGGCCCGAAGGCTAGGCGGTCAGCGATGGCCTTGGGGAATTCAGCACCCGAAGTACCCCCATCCCTATTTCCCTGTCACGATCTTTCACCCCTCCCTCACCCGGACTGGCAGAAGAGGGCGTCTGCCGACCAGGCCTGAGGGGTTAGGGGTTACCAATGGGGGGCACTAGGGAGTTTCAAGAGGGGCCGGCTGTGCTGCCGCCTGAGAGCCCACCAACAGGTGTCTCCTCCTTTGGAGCCACTTGGGTGGAGGGAAGGAGTACGGTGGCTGAGTCCTGGGCCTGAGTGCAGGCCTGCCGCTGCAGCTGCCCACAGGGAGAGCTCTGGGGCTGGCGGTCGGCCTCTGCTGTCTCCTACTGCTCTGCCGGTCTGGGACCTCTGTGTGGGGCCAGGCTACAGCTCTGATGCTTGGGTTTCTGACTGCCAACCTGGTCCGGAAGCATGAGGAACACTTAGACAGCAGCATTGTCTTTCCCTGTGTTCCAGGGAACCAGCTGCAAACTGCAGCGTTGGGCTAGACAAGGACCAGGGGGCAAGCTGTCTGTCCTGGTAGGTGCAGTCTGAGTCTTCACCTGTCTCCTCAATGGTCCCAGAGATATGTCCCCCACCGGTCTTCCTTTCCACCCACCTTTCCCCACTTTGTCCCTCCCCTACAAACCACATGCCCACCCCTCTCTCCACACATTTCAACAGGCTGGTGCAGGGGCACACACTCCCCCTTCCACACACCCCAGGCTTGGCAAGGGCTCAGCAGTCGCACTTCAATATTGCTGTGACCTCACGTGAGGCATCCTAATTCAGGTCAAGGGAAATACTTTCAATCAATTATTACAGAAGGGAGGGCAGCCAGGAGGAGCATGCTATCAAGGAATGTATGACATTTTTGGTCTTCCTGGGAGGGACTTTCTTCCTAAATGAGATGCCCACATGTTGGATAAAAAACAGCCACAGATCAGATTGCAACCATTCCGGTTGGTTTCCAATTAGATTATGTTTAAAAAAATGATTCTAATTTTTATCACTGGGGATGACTTGCCTGGAGTATCTAGGTTTCTAAAGACTGGTTTCCTGCTGTGTTTTCATTAGCCTCAGGACTCATCCCCCTTTTTTTGACCCCCCCCTCACCTGACCTCTGCCAGAGGCAGAAGAGAAAACAGCAAGTTACTGGGGGGGGGGGGGAAACAGCCAGTTTGGAGCAGGAGCATATGTGTAGAAGGATTCGATTTTGACATCAATTAAGTATATAACCAGACAAGTGCACGTGACTTTGGAGGGTCTCCTCTTGCCAGAGCACATCCCGGAAGCCTGCTTACCTTCCCCTCTGGCTCGATGCTGCTGCTCTTGACAAGGCTGCTTTCCTTCCTGTGTATTTCCCCCCAGCAATTATGCTCCTCCACTGAAATCTAAATTTTCCATACTGCTGCCTGTTACTAATAAAAACTGTCTACCTTGCACTATTAAACAGTCGAATCATACTACATGCCATTTTTATTGGTGGTGACTGTAGCAAATTAAAATGCCTACGCAGGGACATTAACACTTACCTCCTCATTGTTATTAGGATATATAAACTGTTTGGAATAAAGCTCCCTGATTTTGAAAAATCACTTTCCCGCGTCTAGGTTAAACTTGACTTAGGCTTCTTTAAAACAAACAAAACATCAATGAGTAAAATGCTGCAAGTGTCCAGGCTGGGTGCTGTGTCCCTTGCTATCTCTTGGCCCTGCGTGGCAGGACAGGTCCCTGGAGATCGGAGGCCACCAGGGGAGCAGAGGGATTCCTCCAGGGCCTTCTAACCACCCCTCCACAAAACCGCCCTGGACGCTGCACTTCGGCCGGCCGAGTCGTGTTCAGACACGTGAGTGAGGTCGCCTGTAGATGAGCAGGCACTTGGCTCAGGCCGCCTTTCTGGTCTCCTCAGCTGGAATGAAAGAAAATGGCCAGGCACTGCGGGAAACGAATAGCAACCCAGAACGCGGGATCTAGTACTCGAGCAATCACCCAGCA